ATATGTTCAGAGCAGCACAATTCACCATAGCTAAGATCTGGAAACAGCCTAAGAGCCCATCAGTAGATGAATGGATTAGAAAACTGTGGTACATCTACATGATGGCATACTATGCTGCTGTAAAAAAGAAGGAACTCTTACCATTTGCAACAGCATAAATGGAACTGGAGAGCATTATGTTAAGTGAAATAAGCCAGTCAATGAAGGAAAAATATCACATGATCTCACTTGTTTTTGGATAATAAACTTATAAACATTATAAACTGATGAACAAAAATAGATACAGAGGCAGAGCTGCCTGGAACATACTGTCAAACTACAGTGGGAAGGCTGGGGAGGGTTGTGGGGCAGGAGCTGGGGAGGCAAGAAATCAACCGGTGCACTTATATGTATGCATATAAGCATAACCAATGGACATAAGACACTGTGGGTTAGGGGAGGCCAGGGGATTGTCAAGGGCTGGGGGAAAAAGGAGACATATGTAATACTCTTTGTAATACTTTAAGCAATAAAACAATAAAATAAAATAAAATAAAATTAGAAAGTCTGAAAAAATATGAAAACAAAATAATTCAGAATATTTGTACGTGTTCTACTTTAGGATCTAACAGATGATTTCATTTTTACAGGCTAATGAATTTAAGGGACACCTCCATAGTTATTAGCATACTGGATATATCTAATCATTTATTTCACTGGATGCTTAAAAAGCAAATAACCTAACATTTATAAAATCTATTATGCACTAGGCTCTTTTTTAAGCACAGGAACAGAAGTAGGAATAACTCATTACTGCCACAGTAGACAGTGATTCCAGGTATTGCATTCCAAGTATTGCAATAAGTGTAATTAGTGTTAGTATCTATCTATCCATTTATTTACTTTTAGGTAAACTATAGATAAGAAATAGGTGATGTGCAATTTTGCTTATATTGATTGGGAAATTGGGGGAAATTTTCACATAGAAGCTATACTTGATCCAGGTCTTTAATAATGTTCAAAGTCATGCATGTGTATTTTCTGTCAATGACCCCAGAATAAGTTTAATAGTGGAGCCTGAGTGGAATTCCTAACACACCTATTTAATTATAGATAATTTAAAAAAAGATTTAATTGCTTGCTTCAGTTTATTTTATTGTTATTGTTGTTGTTTTGGTATAGCCATGATTATCCAGAAAGCAAAGTAAAACATTTCAAGATTATTAAAATTTTGTATATTTCATGATAGAAAATTATGATGGTTGCTTTGGGGAAAAGTAACTTTTTTTTTCCTAAAGAGGAAAAATATTCATTTTAATAATATGATGACTGAAAATAATTGACTCAATATTTATGAATAGAGGCCTGGTACATGAAATTCGTGCACAGGGGTCAGTGCCCTCAGCCCAACCTGCACTATCTCCAATCCGGGATCCTGAGGATCGGGCATAAACCGGCAGTCGGACATCCCTCTCACAATCTGAGTCCATTGGCTCCTAACTGCTCACCTGCCTGCCTGTCTGATCACCCCAACTGTCCCCCTGCCAGCCTGGTCTCCCCTCACTGCCCCCCTCTGCTGGCCTGGTCACCCCACACAGCCCGCTGCTCAGTTGTTTGTTCATCCCTTACTAACCCCCCTGCCGGCCTTGTTGCCCCACTCAGCCTGTTCTGTCGTCCATTCAGTCATCCATTCAGTTGCATTGGCCCTTGACTCTTTATATATATAG